GTTAGAAACATCAAGAGTACCTTGATGAAATTTGTATAGGTCTTCTTGAATATGTGAAATGCAGAAAATATCACTATCAGAAAACCGAATCTACAAATTCTTCCATACACCAGATGCATTATCAATCCAAAGCACTGATTTTGCAATATATTCAAAAATTGAGCATTGAATCCATGCGAGGACCATAGTGTTACAATGAATCCACAGTGCATAAAGAGGATATGAAACATGAGATTCCGCTAGGGTTCTGTCGATGAATATATCCTTGTTCTTAGATATCAATGCTATTTACATTGATCGAGGCCAAATGTGATAATTTTTGTCATCAAGAGGTAGAGAAACAAGAACGAGCGATAGATTCTTGTTCGCGTGTAGATAATAGGGATTTGCATAATTGGTAGAGAAATCAGTGAAGCTCGGGTACACCATTGATGAAAAAAATAGAGAAGAAGAAACAAAGCTTAATAAGCTCTGATACCATGTTGATGATTGAAGATCTCGACATATCTCAAAGTGAATGGAAGTAGAAACATATGCAAATAGAAAGCGGAAGAAAGAAGATGATGAAAGAAATGTTTCATTGATTGATAAAATGCAGAAAAACTGCAATATTTATACAATATACAAACTAGTTGAGCAAAACTAACTTAACCAACCACTCTAACTACATAACAAACTATGAAAGCTTAAGATAAAATATAACTAATTAAGTTAACTAAATATACTTAAGTTAATAATTTTCAGTACCATAAGTATCTTTGTCCTTTAGATCACCACTTATTTCACCAATGGTTTGTATATGTTTATTTAAAAATCATTTGGCAATCATATTTATATTAGAAAAATTAGATTTAATGATCTTGTTCTTGTTATCCCTTTAAACATATGTTTTTGTCAGCACATTCTTTCGCTTAGATTTAAATTTATCAACAAGATGTTTGTCATGTGGATTTTTTCTTTAAAAATTCTCAATTGAGTGACAAATACAATTGCAATATGAACAAAATTCAGGCAGTTTTCCATACTTCAAATTTACAAAGAAGGCAAAAAAATTTGATGGCGTGTCCATTTTTTAATGACATGAAATTTATATTTTTTATTTTTAAAGTTCTTCAAAGGTTTTTTGGCTCACTTTTCACATGTTTGCACTGCAAATAATGATACAGTTATTTTTTAATGACGTATAACTTTTTTTTTTCATCTTTAAAGTTCTATCAAGGTTCCTATACGATGATTCGTAAGTTTCACGTCTGACAACTCATTTAAACATTGATAGATTGTCAATTCTAAGTGCAAAAATAATACAAAGACCAAAATTATTTGATTTTGAAATAGAAAAATTAATTATTTGAATAAGAAAAAATAGAAGGACAAAAATTGTAATTAAACCTTAAAATTATATACTAATATTATTTTTTTCATAATAATAATAATAATATAACATAAAATAATAATATTTTAAAATATGAACATTATATCAATATATATATAAATTTCATATAAATATTATATTATTATTTTAAATTTTTCTTTAAATACACATTTAAAAATTTTAAATATATATATATATATATATATATATATATATATATATATATATATATATATATATATATATATATATATATATATATATATATATATATATATATATATATATATATATATATATATATATATATATATATATATATATATATATATATATATATATATATATATATATATATATATATATATATATATATATATATATATATATATAATTTATAATGTGTATTATATATTTATCTTGAAATTTCTAAAAAAATTCACATATTTTAATTTTTTAGATTTCATGGGTGACGTGTCATTTAAAAATAGACACATTCATAATTTTAAACGCAAAAATATAGAGGTGGACCAGAATTATTTGATTTTGAAATAAGAAAATTAATTCCGTGAATAAAATAATATAGGGAAACTATAATTAAGACTTAAAAATAATATATTAAAATATTTTTTGTAATTTTTTAAATAATTTTAAAATTTAATTTTTTTTAAACTATGAATCTTATATTATTATTTTAAATCTTATTTTAAATTCACGTTTTTTAATGTATTTAAAGTAAGATTTAAAATATTAATATTACGTTGATATTTAAAATATTTTTATTTTATTTTTATAATATTATTAAATTTTTATTCTTATAAAACTAATGTTAGTATATTATTTTTAAGGTTTAATCACAAATTCAATTTTCTATTTTAAATTTAAATAATTTTGATTTTTTTTCTTCAAATTTTTACCGTGAAAGTTGATGGTGTTCATTTTATTAATTATATTTGTTTTTGTTATCTTTAAAGTTATTTTAAAAAAATTGACCCCTTTTCATATTTTCATCAAAAAAATTGATGAATTTTTTTTTAATAACATGTTTATAAAAGTTCTTATACGATGATTTAGCATGTTCCCTTTCACCAATGACATGATATTTAAAATAGACACGTAAGTGCAAAATTAATAGAGGGAATTAAAAGCTTTGAATTTTAAATATGAGAATTAATTTTGTAAATGATATAAAATAGGGATATCAAAACTATAATTAAATTTTGAAATAATAAACTAATGTTATTTATTTTTAAATAGAATATGATAACTTTTTTTAATTTAAAATTGTATCATTTTAAAATAAATTTAATTACAATTTTGATCTTCTATTTTACTTGATTCACAAAGTTGATTTTTCTATTTTTAATTAAATATTTTTTTGTCGTTTTTCATATTTTTACGCTTAAAATTAAAATGTTTCTATTTTTTAAATAACAAATTTATTGTAAAACATGACAAACCATCGTATATAAAATATAAATTAAAAAATAAATATCTCATTAATTTTCTATAGAAAAAAATAAGAATAAAACGAAACTAGTTAAATTTAAAATAAAAATTAATTTCATGATTCACGTGAAATTGAGGGACTAAAAACTCTAATTTAGCTTTAAAATAAAATCTCTTTTGATACGTTTTGGAGAGTGGGATACATAATAAATTAGGGAAGATTATAATGGTGAAGATTTTCCAAATCATTTTATAAATAGAAAATTTTGTTGATACTTTTGATACAATACGTTAATTAAATTCAACTATTTTGTTGATAATTTCATGTTTCTCACGATAGATATTCGGTTTTACTAGATATGCTTCATATATATCGGAAGTGTATCAAATGAGTACTTGTATATATTGTAAGAAGCAAAAATAATCAATAATATTTTTTATTTAGCTAACACAGTACATTTAAATTTAAGTTTAAAGATAATGCACTTACTGTGCAAACAACTATTACATATATAATCAATTAAAATTTTTATATTTATCATGTCATATTATTTTTAAAATTAAAATTGTGTTTTAATTAGATATATATATTTCTCATTAGTCGAGAGTGTAAAAATATTTTACATATCAATATATATTCTTTTTTCTCTTTAAATTTTACATAATTTTAATAATAGAATCATTTGGAAAAAAAAATTAAAAATATTTTTTCATTTCATTTATTAAACACATTCTTCAAAAACGTATCAAAAGAAACTTTAAAGTATTATAATACTGTTTATATTTTAAAAAGTTAGAATTTGAACTTTTCAATTTATTAAATTTTAATTTTCAAAAACTTAATTTTAGCATAATTTTTAAATTAATACTTATTAAAATATTACCAATTTAAAAATTCATAAAAATAATATTTTAAATATAATTAAATTATTTATTTATTTTAAATATTAGTTTGACCTTATTAAATTTTAAATCACACAATTTAAATTGGTGATTTATTTATTAAGTTTCTTTAGCATATATATTACTTTAACCATTATTTTGATCATATTTAAAATATTTGGTTTTGCGGATGCTTTAATTTAGTATTTGATGTAATTAGGATCATCTTAAATTTATGAAGATATATGTAAGTTAATCATTGCTCAATCATCATAAAACTAATAAAGATTTTTTTAGTTGTAAAAAATCGATTATAAATCATATTTATCTATGATTTAACTGTGGTGCATTTTGAGGTATTTGTTAGAGTCTTACAACTTAAATAGTTTAGAATTATAATTTTAAGAGGTTGAGTTTGAGTTTAGTGTTATAATTTTAAGAGGTTGAGTTTGAATCATCTTATAAATAATTGTTAATATATCATTAATATAATTTTAATTAATAAAACATTTCACTTTCCTATTTTTTTATAAAAAATAATACTTTTTTATCATTAATATCCAATCCATTGAACTGATTAATTAGATTTGAAAATTATTTTTGATATTAAATAATTATAGTTCCCTCTTAATTACAATTTTAAAAATCAAACTGTAATTTTTCTTATTAAATACAACTTCAGTTATTATTGAACCAACTAAAAATTTGTATCTATGCAGATTTTTCTCTCAAAAGAAAAAACTAATGGATGAGTTTGAGGTTTTGAATATTTAATAGTTTGTTGAACTTCAACAAATTTTTGTTATAATTAAGTTTCTGTCTAATAGTTTAATATATGAAGAATTTTATTATATGCATCCAGTTTTAGAGATAAAGTACGAGTTTTTATTTTGTTTTAAAATAATTCCAGTGACGAAACTTTACCTTACAACCCGATCATATTAAATGGATAGAGCGTGATAATAATTAGTTAAAAATGATTTGATTGGAAATGAAATCTTCTTATATAAAACTATTAACAGTTTTTAGTCATCCGTGCTTTTTGTTTTCTCTTTTTTATTTGATAAATTGTCTTTATTAAAAAAATATTAATAATTTTTCTGTTTATTATTATTTAAAAATCTGAAGGGAAATTTTATTATGTCTGGCAAGTAATAAAATTATTGTTCTTTTATTATACTATTTTCCCTTTTTCCCCTTTATTTTAATGTCACATACAACTAATTAGTGTATATAAACACCTTAAAATTAACAAATCATTTGCATAAAATAGTGATAAATTTTCGACAATAGAGAAATGAATTCATCACTAGGAAGTACGGGCGCGGCAGGATCTGGTGACGATGACATTGATAACTTACAAAGTGATAGAAGAGCTTCTTACAAACGTCTCACAGCAACTCAATCAACCATACTTGAAAAGTAAAATTATTATTATTATTTTATTTCTTTTCAATTCTATCATTTTTATGATTAGTTCAATTTTTTATAAAAATTGATTTCTCTTTTGAGATGAAGCTGTTAATTATATATTAGCATTTTTTTTTATTAGTTGAGAGCCAATAAATTTTTCATTTAATGATGTAAGTTTATTTGAATTTGTGGGAAAACAATTTGGTTTTTCCACTATCGTATAGTCTGGTTTAGATATCAGTTTTAATATTAAATGATTATAACTACCTCTCAATTATAGTTGTAGGAGATTAAATTGTGATTCTCCCTATTAAATTCAGTATCAATCAATATTAGACCAACTATCGATTGATTGAATGTGTGAAAATAATTTCATTAAATATCTTTCAATTAATTCGGAATTTTTATTTTTATGGATGTAGTTTCATGAAGGAATGCCACCATCCAGACGATGCTCAAAGACGTCAATTGGCTGAAGAGGTTGGGCTTGAGCCCAAACAAATCAAGTTTTGGTTTCAGAATAAGAGAACTCTCATTAAGGTGATTCCTTTTCACCATAATTTACAATTCTTATTAAAATTACCAAAATATTTTTATATATATTTTCTATTACTTAATTTTAGTCAAATTTGATTTGGAAAATATAATTAAAGTTTTGATGGTCAAAATAAAATATATATAATGTTTCAATATAATATTTGGTTTTCAAAATGTTTTAATTTAGTGTTTGATGAGATAGTAGAATATGATAAATTAGTATTTCTAAATCTTATAGTATCTTATTTTTCTAGTTAAATTTTTTATATTGAATATGAGATGGATTAAAAAAGTTCAATTGATATGTATTAGTTAGATTAAAATGGTGTGAGTTGTTGGCTTAGAGTTCAACCTCTCACAACAATATTTTTTGTACTTTTTTTAATATATTATTAATGTAAATAATATTGACCAACAATTTTTAAATATTATTTTATTATTAAAATTAATTTTAAAAATTGAAATTTACTAAATATAAATAAAATAATTGATATTAATTTTAAAAATAAATATTTTATTAAAATTAGAATATTTTAAAACAATTAATATTATTTTTTCATAAAATTAAAAACAATTTATTTAAAATAGTGGTTTTATTATATATTGTAAAAAAATTATAAATTTTTGTTAACTTTTTAATATTTAAATTTAATTAAAAAACATATGTAATTATTTCACGTAAATGATTTCAAAATTCAATTATAATATACATTTTACTATGTGTAAGTCAAACACGTGATAATTTTTGTGTATTTGTTGGTTAAAGAATCAACACGAGAGGGAAAATAACACTACTCTTCGTCTGGAGAATGAAAGGATTCATAATGAGAACCTCCTAATCAAAGAGGCGCTGAAGGCCACAATTTGTTCAACTTGTGGAGGTCCTCCATTTCCTCAAGAAGAGCATGAACATTTCATGCACAGCATGGAACGAGAAAATGCTCAGCTCAAGCAAGAGGTTATTCAAATCATTTCTTTCATTCTCTTTTTGTTTATTTTTATGTGCATAAAATATATGGCTATATAACATAGTTGCTTTTGTATTGATTTTCTCTTTCAGCGTGACAAAGTGTCAAACCTTATTGCAAACTACATGGAGAAAAAGATATCTCTCCCTGAGTTTGAGCAAGCTCTTGCTACTGTAAAATCATTCTCAAGAGATAGAGACATTGATTTTTCACAAACCAAACCAGTTTATGAAACACTAAGGCATGCTCATCTTCATGTTCATGGTAATCTAACCATGAGAGAAGCTATGTTAATGAACATCTCTGAGCAAAACCCTGATGAACAAAAGAGAATGATGTCTCGGATTGCAACAATTGCAATGGAAGAGTTGGCTAGGCTTCTTAGAGTTAATGAGCCTTTTTGGGTTAACACTCGAGATGGGAAATTCACTCTTGATCGTGAAAGTTACGAGCAAGTTTTTCCCAAGGACAATCACTTTCAAGGTGCAAATGTGTGTGAAGAATCTTCTAAATTTTCTGGAGTTGTTAAACTTAGTGCCTTGCAACTGGTTGACATGTTTCTAGACCCGGTAAGCATGCAACTATAACTCGTGTTTGGATTCTCTCTACAGCAGTAGTTGAAGAGGATTTGAAGTTTAATATAAATATAAATTGATAGAAAAAAATGAAATTCTTTAAGTTTCTTTTAACATTTATTTCTCTCAAATTTTCAGCTCAAATGGAAAAACTTGTTTCCAACAATTGTTACCAAAGCTGAAACTGTCAAAGTGTTCGAAACTGGTTCAACAGAAAATCGAGATGGAGCTTTGCTTTTGGTATAATCATTTTTGTTGCAAATTTTGATTCATGATAATTTTCTTGTCTATAATTTTCTATCAACTTGTTAAATGTTTATTTTTCATGACAGATGCATGAACAACTGCATATTCTGTCACCTCTAGTGCGTCCTCGTGAATTTAGCATCATTCGCTACTGCAAACAAGTTGATGCTGGCGTATGGATGGTAACTGATGTGTCAATTGATGCATCTCGCCCGAACACTACGCCTCTCTGTCAATCCTGGAAGTTTCCATCCGGATGCATAATCCGCGAATTGCCTCATGATGCCTGCCTGGTTAGTAATTTCTATTATACTTTCTTTTTACGCTATCATGATACTCGACAAAAGAAAAACGTGATGACATTTTTTATGTTAGGTTACTTGGGTTGAACATGTGGAAGTGGAAGATAAGATCCATACACATCCTGTGTATAGAAATCTTATCAGTAACTTTAATCTATATGGAGCTGAAAGCTGGATTAAGGAGCTTCAAAGAATGTGCGAAAGATCTTTCAGCTTTTTTGTTGAAACTATAGCTGATCAAGAAACTTCAGGAGGTTAGTTACACTCTTTCTTCTCAATATTCATCTTTTCGATTTTATGATGTTATATGAAGTTAAGTTAGTTAATACTATTTGGTAATAATTTATCAGTGATCACATCAACTGATGGGAGGAAAAGTGTGATGAAGCTTGCTCATAGAATGGTCAAAATGTTCTGTGAAAGTTTAACAATGTCAGGCCAATTGGAATTTCAACATGTCACTCTTGATAGCATTGGCGGAGTTAGAGTTTCTATTCGCAAAAACAACAATTTCGGCCAACCAAAAGGCACCGTTGCTGTCGCTGCTACCACCCTTTGGCTCCCTCTCCCTGCTAAAAGAATCTTCGAGTTCCTCAGAGATCCTACAAAACGATCTAAGGTACATTATTAGATTAATCGTCTTTTTCTTTCCATCGAATAATCAAGTGGTGAGAATTTTATACATGTGGAGAATCGCGTGCTTGAGCATGCATCATATACTAATCAAATTCGTTTAACTCTATGTTATAATTAAGAGTTAACACATTTTCGTCTTTGAATATATTTTTTTTATTTATAAAATGATTATCATCTGCGCGCAACTGTAATTACTTCTTATACATTTTTATTATAGTGGGATGTCCTTTCTTCCGGAAAGCCAATGACTGAGATTGCACACATCTCCAATGGACTCTATCCTGGCAACTCCATTTCAATTATTCAGGTACTTACCATTATTTCAAAAAATCATGTTTCAATATCAAATATTTTTACTAATTTTTTTCATGTGAACTAGCCGTCTGTCTTTCGCGAAGACCAACCGGTGATCATCCAAGAAAGTTTCACATCTTGTGTGGGATCGTACATTATATTCGCTCCAACGGATAAATCATCTATGAATATAGCTATTCGAGGTGATGAGTCAAAAGGCCTAGAAATTCTTCCAACGGGATTCGTTGTTTGCTCAAAAGCTAAGCCGAATGCAGCTTTCGATACATTTGGCAATACCGGAAGTGGTGCTGGTGCTGGTGCAGGTGCTGGATCTTTGTTAACTGTGGCTTATCAAATTCTTATTTCTACTTCAACTGGAATTGGCACACAGCAACATATGGAATCTATGGCTTCTGTCAACACTCTTCTGTCCGGTACTATTCGAAAAATGAAGGATGCTCTCATGTGAGATTTGATTAACAATTTGGACTAGTTGTTATTTGTTTTGTTGAAGAAAACTATGTTGTTGTTTTTTATGGACCAGTTGTTGTTGTATGGTGATTAAGTTTGTTTGGGATTTTTGGTCCAAAAAAAAAAAGATTGTTTGGGATTGAATCTTAATCATACATTACTTTGGTGGTACTTTTCTATGAGTCACGAATAAAAATGACCCTTGTGCTAGTAATTGTTTCTTTTTTATCATTCATCTATTTTTTATTAGTGTTGTTGAGCTATTTTTGATGGGATTAGTTTATATTATTTTCAACTGATATTTTTAAAACTTTCAATGCTAAGCTTGTGTAATTGCTTATTAGAGTTTTTAATAGATATATGAAAAGGATGCATCGGAGATTTGATTTTGTAAAACTGTTTTTTGGTTTTTAAAATTTGAAAATAATAAAATTTGTTTGGTGGTATTTTGTAAAACAATTTTTGAAAATTTCTCAGTTTAATAGTTTTAAAAACTAAAATAATAAAAATTATAATAGATTTTAGAGATTTTGGTTTTTGGTTTTCAAAATTGAGAATAGGAAAAAAATTAAAAAGAATGATGCGCTTTTTATTAATGATAAATTTATAATATTATCTAATTTTAAACTAATTTTTAAAAGTAAGATTATCAAATTCTTTTATTTTTTCTTTAAATTTTTTATAAAATAATGGAGGGAAGAGAAGAGAGGGAGAAAGTGAATAATTTATAATACTATCTAAAGTGTTTTTAGTCTCCATATTTGATCTGTTATGTGAGTTCAGTTTGGTTCAAATAAAAGGAGGGGTGATGAAAGCTTTTAATGAAGGGAACAGAAGAAGAAAAAAGAGATGTTTAAAATTTTTAATAAAATGAATAAACAAAATAATTAAAATAAATAGTTTTAAATTTGATATTCTAATAAAATGAATAAAAAACAATTAAAATGAATGGTTTTAAATTTGATATAAAAGAAATATAATAAGATACATAATAAAATTAAAAGAAAAAACGAAAAATAAATAAACATAAAAAGTTATTAAGAAAATAAAAACAAAAAAATTGCAATGGTTATAATTTATATTATGAATAAAATTTCAAAAATAATTTGAACATAAGAAAACTATCTAGAAAAATCACACAGCAAAGAAAAAGTTACACGAAAAAAAAGAATAATTTTAAAATATTAAAATTAAACAGAATATTTTAATAAATATTATAATTCATATTCGCACCGGAATTTGTTTTATATATATATATATATATATATATATATATATATATATATATATATATATATATATATATATATATATATATATATATATATATATATATATATATATATATATATATATATATATATATATATATATATATATATATATATATATATATATATATATATATATATAAGAGTACAAGGATTTGTATACTAATTGTCTATAATTGTCTAGTCTATAATTGCCTATAATAGAAATCCTATTTTAAATACAATTATGATACTATTTCCTGATATACTAATTGCCTTGAATGTCTTGATATTTGCTTTGACCTTCTTTAATGTGAATAATATGTGCTTATCCTTAACACCGGTGGGATTGAAATATCAAGAACACCCAACTTGCCAAGTAGTCGTTTATAAGTATCGCCTCCAAGAGGTTTAGTAAATATGTCAGCTAGTTGGTCAAAAGATCGAAGATAAGAAGGGCTGATAAGACCTGATTTAATTTTCTCACGAACGAAATGACAATCAATTTCAATGTGTTTTGTGCGTTCATGAAAAACTGGGTTTTCGGCGATGTGAATAGCAGCTTGACTATCACAATGAATGGTGATCGGTTGAGGATGATCAATGTCGAGATCCGAGAGAAGATATTTTAACCATTGTAACTCGGAAGATAAAGTTGCAAGAGAACGATATTCTGCTTCAGCAGAGGAACGAGAAATTGTTGGTTGCTTCTTGGTTTTCCATGATATAGGATTAGAGCCCAACATGGTAAAATAGCCGGTAGTGGAGCGACGAGTAGTAGGACAACCAGCCCAATCAGAGTTGGCATATCCAACTAAATTGAGGGAGCTAGAAGCCGAAAGAAATAAGCCTTTGCTGACACTCCCTCTAAGATATCGGAGAACTCGTGTGGCCGCATCGAGATGAGTTGTACATGGAGATTGCATGAATTGACTGAGAGTGTTAACAGCGTATTGGATGTCGGGCCGTGTCACTGTTAAATATAATAGACGACCAATGAGGCGACGATAGATTGTCGGATCAGGAAGAGGGCTTCTTTCATTGGGCCGTAGACGGAGGTGTTGCTCCATAGGAAAATCTGATGGTCGGCAACCAGTCATACCAGAGTCGGATAAAATGTCAAGTGTATATTTCCTTTGGCATAAGAATATTCCCTTTTTAGAACGGGATACTTCGATACCTAAGAAGTATGAAAGATTTCCAAGATCTTTGATGGAAAAGGCCTGGGCGAGAAATTTTTTGATGTCGGAGATAGCGTCTTCGTTATTTCCAGTGATGATGATGTCATCTACATAAACGAGTACAAATATAGTCGTGTGATTACTTTTGAAAGTGAATAGACTATAATCAGAGATGGATTGATGAAAACCCTTTTGAATGAGGGTGGTGGACAATTTTGAGAACCATTTACGGGATGCCTGTTTGAGACCATAGATGGATTTGTTTAATTTGCAAACACATGGTTTCCCTTAATGAGAGAAGTCGGGTGGTAATTTCATGTAGACTTCTTCATTAAGGTCTCCTTGAAGGAAAGCATTGTTAACATCAAGTTGATGTAACTGCCAGTTTTTAATGGCAGCAATGGAGAGAAGGAGTCGAACCGTGACAAGTTTGGCAATCAGTGCGAATGTTTCATGGTAGTCAATACCATGTACTTGATTGTAGCCTTTGGCGACTAAACGAGTCTTATATCGCTCAACGGTACCATTAGAGTGATATTTAATTTTATATACCCACTTACAACCTATGGCAGTTTTTCCATTCGGGAGAGGAGATAAAACCCAAGTGTTGTTGGATTCAAGGGCGTGAATTTCTTTAGCCATAGCGTCACGCCATTCAACTGATTTGATAGCTTGAGAATAAGATGTTGGTTCTTTATTTTCAATGATATTAAGAAGAAGAGCTCGATGAGAAGTTCTCAAATTGGATAAAGAGAAATAATTCTTTAATGAGAAGGCACTCTGTGATGTGACATTATTAATGTCACATACGTGGTCCGTGAGGCGAACAGAAGGAGTACAAAGACGTTGAGGATAACGATGTTCTGCAGGATTGATCGTTGCAGGTGAATGTTGTTGGGGAGTTTCTACAGGAATAGATGTAATATTGGATGGAATATTCGATGAGTTATCATCCTGAGGGGTGGAAATGGGCACAATCGTGTCATCATGATGACTAATACCGGGAGAGATACTTGATGCAGGTGATAAGTTGGAAGAGGAATCATCAAATTCACAATCAAGGATTTGAGCGTTGATGCTTATGTCGTTAGCGATGGAAGGAGTTTGAAAATCGTGATATGGAAACATGGTTTCAAAAAATTGAACATCGCAAGAGACATATATTTTGCGAGTGTGCATATCGTAGATGCGGTATCCTTTTTGATTAAAAGGGTAACCGACAAAAATACCAGGTTTGGCTCGTTCATCGAATTTGTGTTGAATGTTCATATTTTTGGCAAAACAGAGATATCCAAACACACGAAGTGATGAGTATGAAGGAGGAGAACCGAGTAAAATTTGATGAGGAGATTTATATTTCAGGATGGGAGTAGGAAGTTTGTTTATGAGATAAGCGGCAGTGAGCACGCATTCACCCCAAAAGGAAAGGGGTAATTTCGCTTGGAAATGTAATGCTCTTGCGACGTCGAGAAGATGACGATGCTTGCGCTCCACAACGCCATTTTGTTGAGGGGTTGCAACGCAGTTGCGTTGATGAATAATGCCATGATCATGAAACCATGTTTGGATTTGTTTGGACAAAAACTCTGAACCATTGTCGGAACGAATAGCTTGAAGTTGGGGAAGAAAGATGCCCCCATCTCCGGAATCAATTTTATTAATTTTAGTGTTGAATTGGCGATTGATTTGATTAAAAAAATGAATTAGCATAGTAAATGTTTCAGATTTATGTTGCATGAGATATAACCAAGTACATCGTGAATAATCATCGACAATTGTTAAAATATATCGTGATCCATTGTGTGATGGAGTAGAGAATGGACCCCAAATATCGACATGAATTAACTCAAAACAATGAGATGAATATGATATTCTTGAAGAAAAAGGTAGACGTGATTGTTTTGCACGCGGACAAACGTCACACATAAAATCTTTATTCGCATTAATATTTGGAGAGTTCTTAACAATAAATTGAAAACGGGAAATAGATGGGTGACCGAGGCGTAAATGCCATAGGTCAGCCTTATTACATTGCTTAGAACTAAAAAAAGAACTTGGTGGATGGTCAACACAATAGTGATTGTTGTCATCTTTATTTAATGGTGGTTCTTCATTCAAGTAGAAGAGTCCATTCCGAGCACTACCTCGACCAATCGTCTTCTTCGTTGCTCGGTCCTGAAATATGCAACCAGAGGATGAGAAAATAATATCACAATGTATTGATTTTGTTAATTGTGAAAGAGATAATAGATTATATTTGAAAGATGGAATGTGATAAACATTCGTGAGTGTAAGTGACGGCGAGCAATGAACATTTCCGATGTGTTTCACGGACGCGTGAGAGCCGTCGGGTAATTGAACAAGTATATTTTTATGAACAGGTGAATATGAAGAAAAATAAGAAAGAGATGTGCATATGTGATTTGAAGCGCCATAATCAATAATCCAAGAAAAAGGAACACAAGTAAAAGCGGTACCTGCTAAATTCACAGATGATCCCATAGTGTCCTCTTTGGCTAAGAGAGATAGGAGTTTTTGGTATTGTGCGCTTGAGAGTTAAGTAGTGG